TAATATGGGGAAAGCATTCAATCTTTCAACATTAAATATGCTATTAGCTGTGAGCTTTGCATAGATGCCCTTTTAATATGTTGAAGAAATTCCTTCCTAATTTTTAGTTTGTAGAGTATTGTTATCATGAAAAGATTTTGGATTTTGTCAAATACTTTTCTACATCCATTGAGGTGATCATAGATAAAAGTCTTTATTGTTTATTCTAGTCATATGGTATATTACATTAATTGATTTTCAGATATTACACCAATCTTTCATCCCTGAAATAAGTCCCACTTGGTCATGGTATATATGTTGGATTTAGCTTACTAGAATTTTGATAAGGATTTTTGCTTCTATATTCATGAGAGGTATAAGCCTGTTATATCTTGTGATTTATTTGTCTGGTTGTGCTATCCAGGTAATGTTGGCTTCATAGAACAAGTTGGGATGTATTCTTCTCTTCTATTTTTTTAGAGGTTTGTGAAGGATTGGTATTAATTCTTTTAATGTTTGGTAGAATTGGGCATGGACTTTTCTTTGTGGGGAGTTTTAAATTTTTAATTAAATCTTTTTGCTTGTTTCATAGATCTATTTATATTTGCTATTTCTTCTTGAGTAAGTTTTTTCAGGAATTTGTCCATTTTACCTAAGTTAGCTCATATATTGGTAAACAGTTTGTACATAGTATTTACCATACTTCTTTTTATTTATGTAAGATCAACAGTTATACTCCCTCTTTCATTCTTCTTTTTGCTTTTTTTCTTGGTTAGTCTAGCTGAAGGTTTGACAATTTTGTTGTTCTTATCAAACTGTTGGTTTTGTTGATATCCTCTTTGTTTGTTTTTGGGAGAGAGAGAGCACAAGCAGGGGGAGGAGCAGAGGGAGAGGAAGAGAGAGAATCTTAAGCAGGTTCATGCCCAGCATGGAGCCCAGTGCTAAGCTCCATCTCACGACCCTGAGATCATGACTTGAGCTGAAATCAAGTCGGATGCTTAACCAGCTGAGCCACCCAGGAGCCCCCTCGTTTGTTTTTTCTGTTCTCTATTTCATTTATTTTTACTATAACTTTTATTATTTTCTTCTGCTCTCTTTGGGTTGAGTTGGTCTTCTTTTACTAGTTTCTTAAATCAGAAGTTTGTTATTGATTTGAAATCTTTCTTCTTTTTTGCTATAGGTGTTCACAACTATAAATTTTACTCCTACCACTGTAATAGTTGTATCTCCTAAGTGTTGATATGTTTTAGTTTTATTTTCATTAATCTCAAAATATTTTCTAATTTCTATGTGATTTCTTCTTTTCTCAATGGATTGCTTTGATCCATTGGTTATTTAGGAATGCGTTGTTTATTGCACATATTTGTGAATTTCTCAAGTGTTCTTCTGTTACTGATTTCTATTTTATTTCTATTTGTGGTTGGAGAAAATACTTTGTAAAACTTCAGTCCTTTTGAATTTATTTAGGCTTGTTTTATGGCCTAGCATATGGCCTATTCTGGAGAGTGTTCCACATGTAATTAAGAATAACTTGTATTTTGCTATTGTTAGGTGGAATATAGAATACTATTGTTCTTGTAGTCTATTTTCTTATAATCTTCTGCCTAGTTATTCTATTCATTATTGAAAGTGGAGTATTGAAGTCTCTAATAATTTTTTAATTATCTATGTCTCCTTTCAATACTGTCAATTTTTGCTTCATGTATTTTGGGGTTCTGTTGTTATATGCATACATATATACATATAATCATTGTATCTTTCTGGTAAGTGGGCCCTTTTATCATTATAGCTTTTGTCTCTAGTAATAATCTTTAACTTAAACTCATTTCGTCTGATATTAGTATATAATATAATAATATATATTTTGTCTGATATTTATATCTTTTAATATAAAGTGTGTCTCTTATAGAGAACACATAGTTGGATTATTCTTTGGTATCCATTCTGTCAATCTCAGACTTTGATTAAAATTTTTTATTCCATTTATAATTATTGTAATTGCTGATTAGGCAGGATTTACATCTGCCATCTTGAGATTTGTTTTCTGTGTTTTATATCCTTGCTTCTGTATTCTTTCATCACTAATTTCTTTTGTGTTAAATGTTTTCTAGGTGTCATCTTAATTCCCTTGTATATTCTTATACTATATGATTTTTGGTTATTTTCTTAGTGGTGGCTCTGGAGATTACAATTGTCAGCTTAATTTAATACAATTTAATTTGGATTGACACTAACTTACTTTCATTAGTACATAGTTCCATCCCTCCTCTCTCCTTTATTGCCTATTATTGTCATAGGAATTTTATCTTTGTATATTATAAATCCATCAACACAGTTTTATAATTATTCCTTTAGGCAGTTATTTTTTAAATCAGATAGGAGAAGAAAAGAAGTAAAAAATGCATTTATGCTGTCTTTTATAAGTATCTAAATGGTTAGCTCTTTATTTCTTCATATGGATTTGAGCCTAGGATCTTTTCAGTTAGCAGGGCCCCTTTTAGTATTTCTTGTGGGATGAATCTGTTAGTGAAGAATTCTCTTAGTTTTTGTTTATCTGGGAATGTTTGTATTCTTCCTTTATTTTTGAATGATAGCTTTATTGAATTTATAGAATTCTTGGTTGACTGTCTTTCAGCACTTTCAATATGTTGTCCAGTGGCCTCTATAGTTTCTGGTGGGAAATCAATTGTTAATCTTATTGAGGTTCCTTTGTATGTGGTAACTTATTTTCTCTTGCTGCCTTCATGATTCTCTTTTTTTGCTGGCTTTTGACAGTTTGACTATGATGTGTCTAGGTGTGAATCTCCTTGAGTTTATCCCACTTGGAATTTGTTGAGCTTCTTGGATATATACGTTAATTTTGCAATCAAATTGGGGTAGTTCTTTGATACTATTTCTTCAAATATTCTTTCTGCCTTTTTCTCTTTCTCTTCTCCTTCTGGGATTCCCACTATGTGTCAATATGATTGATAATGTCCCACAGGGCTCTAACGTTCTATTCCTTTTTCTGTATTCTTTTTTCTTTCTGTTCTTCAGACTGGGTAATCTCAATTGGTTTATCTTCAAGTTCATTAATTCTTTCTTCTGATAGTTCAAATTTCCAATTCTAGTGAACTTTTCATTTTAGTTATTGTACTTTTAAACTCCAGAATTTCTATTTTTTTTGGTAATTTTTGTATCTTTATTGATATTCTTCATTTGGTAATACATAATTGTTATAATTTCCTTTAATTCTTTAGACATCATTTTCTTTAGTTCTTTTAACATATTTAAGATAGCTGAATTAAAATCTTTGCCTAGTAAGTCCAACATCTGGACTTGCTCAGAGCTTCTTTTCTCATATATGGGCCATAAATTTCTTTATTTTCCTATATCATAAACTTTTTGTTGAAAACAGAACATTTTTGATAATATAATGTGGCAGGTTTCAAAATAAGACACACACACCTCCTCAGGATTTGCTGTTGCTGGTTTTTCATTTTGTTTTGTTTGTTTGTTTTAGTTTCTGGTTAGTTTGTTTAGTGACTTTCCTGGACTAATTCTATAAAGTCGGCATTCCCTATATTGTGCAGCCACTGAAGTTCTGCTCTGTTAGCTTAGTGGTCAGCTAATGATTGGCCAGAGATTTCCTTAAATGCCTTGAACCAATAAGTCTTCTGCCTGTTGCCAAGGGGCTCTCTGTGTGTTGAAGCATCCCTCCAATGCTTAAACAGTTTACAACTCTGCTTTCGTATGTACTTTCTGCTTGTGCTGAGCTTCATGATCAGCCCAAATGTACAGATCAGGACCTTCTCAGTTCTTTCCTGAGCATATGAACACCCTGGTACATGTGCATAGCCTTCCCAATCCCCAGGAATATATCAGATCTTCTCAAATCCCCCCTGTAGACATCTCATTCTCCAGATATTCCTTTAAATTTTTACTCAGACTCTTGATTGTTCTAACTGGTATTGCAGCATCAGGCAGATGCAGTGTTTAACAATTGCTCTTGATAGTTTTTGACAAATGCCCTGGGATAAAGCTTTTCCTGCAAAGTGAGCTCTGAGACCAAGTATCAACAATGCCCTATAAATGAGTTTTTGCCAAGAGTCTGCATGACAAGTTAACAATGAGAACGCTCAGAGGATGGGACATTTTGAGGAGCCTCAAATCCAGTCTGTTTCCTCTTGTGGCTGCAAGATTGGTGGTTTTCACAATTACTTGGGTTGTCCGGCTACTGGTTATCAAGGTTAACATGGAACTGATTAGAACGGGATGGGTATTCAAATACCACAACCCTGTTTCTTTTACCAAAGCTCAGCAGTTTTTCTTGAACAAATGCTCCCCTGATGGTTGCAAGTCTTTGGTTAATTTCAAGAGTTCTGAAAAAGTTTATTTTGACCACTTGCCCAGTGTTTTTGTTTTTATAGGAGAGCAGATTTATAGAGGTCCTTACTGTGCCATTTTGTAAGTCCTGCCCCTCTTCCATTATTAAATAGGAGCATCAGTATTTTATTGCACTAGAAAGCCATATTAAGACATTTTGTCCTCCATAAAGGCATTTTGGAAAAACACTTGATCAACTAGGTTTTTGGTGAAAAATAGTCTATGATCAAATACATTCAGAAACTTTTTTTTTCTTTTCTTTTTTAATTTCTTTCTTTCTTTTCTTTTTTTGCTTTATATCATTCTTGGAGACTCCCAATGCATGCTATCATTTCAAGGTTCTGAGAAGGTCTGCTCTAAAAATCTTGCTTAATATTGTTTACCCAGCATTCCCTAAACATATTTTCCTGCATAATTCCTTTTTAAAAATTTGTTTAAAATCCCTTAGTTAGTGCTCCTCACAATACACTGTACCAACCTTAAAGGTAAATTACAGGTCTAGTGTCTGGGGCTACTTTTTAGATCTAATACCTCAGCAGTTGGGTCTGATGAGAGTGATCAACGTACCCATATAATACAATGGGGATACTTTGGGCCTTAATTTCTATTTTCCTTATACTTGTCTGATTTCTAATAGTGGCTATCTTTTCTTCCAGGTTTGGAGACATGGGTCTAGCTCATCACAAAAACTCATCACATTTCAGCTCATCACAAACATCCTGAGTGACCTAAGAAAATTATTTGATCTGTTTATAGTTTTCTTTCCTTCCACCTAAGAAAATTCATGTGAACTAATCTCCTATAATAAGAAAGTGTAAAGAGTTTTGTGGTGCGACAAATGACTTTTGTCCTTTTCAGAGTCCTCAATCAATAATGGATTCTTAGATGGCTAAAATCAACAACACAAGAAACAACAGGTATTGGCGAGGATGTGGAGAAAGGGGAACCCTCTTGCACTGTTGGTGGGAATGCAAATAACTAGTGCAGCCACTCTGGAGAAGAGTATGGAGGTTCCTCAAAAAGTTAATAATAGGGGCACCTATGTGGCTCAGTTGGTTAAGCATCTGCCTTCGCCTCAGGTCATGATCCCAGGGCCCCGGGATGGAGTCTGACATCAGGCTCCCTGCTCAGTGGGGAGCCTGCTTCTCCCTCTCCCTCTGCCTGCTGCTCTACCTACTTGTGACCTCTCCCCAAATAAATAAATAAAATCTTTTAAAAAAATTAAAAATAGAAATACCCTATGATCCAGCAATTGCACTCCTAGGTATTTACCCAAAGGATACAAAAATACAGATTCAAAGGGACACATGCACCCTGATGTTTATAGCAGCATTATCAACAATAGCCAAACTATGGAGAGAGCCCAAATGTCTATCAACTGATGATGGATAAAGAAGATGTGGTGTATATATCCAAAGGACTATTACTCAGCCATCAAAAAGAATGAAATCTTGTCATTTGCAAGGACGTGGATGGAGCTAGAGTGTATTATGCTAAGTGAAATAAGTCAGAGAAAGACAAATACCATATGATTTTACTCATACGTGGAATTTAAGAAACAAAACAGATGAACATATGGGAAGGTAGAGAAAAAAAGAGAGAGGGAAACAAACCATAAGAGACCCTTAATAATAGAGAATAAACTGAGGGCTCATGGAGGGAGGTGGGTGGGGGATGGGCTAGACAGGGTATGGGCATTAAGGAGGGCACTTGGGGTGATGAGCACTGAGTGTTGTATGTTAAGTGATGGATCACTGAATTCTACACCAGAAACAAATATTGCACTGTATGTTAATGAAGTAAAATCTAAATTAAAAAAAATTTTTTTTTAATTTTAAAAATAATCGATTCTTAGAAACCATTCCAAGACTAAGTCAGAAGAGCTGCAGAACCAGCTCTCTGTAATCACGTATGCACACTTGGACACACCCCCCCACACGCGCACGCACACACGTACACGTGCATGCACACATTCACACACATGCACACGTGTACAGAGCTCCCTGGTGGGTGTGCTAAAGCCTGACAGAGGTGGCAAGGGTCCCCAGGTAGGTTGCCTGCTCCTGAGGCAGCCTTATCCTTTTCTCACAGGTGGCTGCGCAAAAACGTTCTATATTCTGAGTGCCATGGCCTGAGGAGGTCTGCGAAGTCCTGCCCAGGAGGCTTGGGAGTCTTCACAGGAGGGGATAGAGGGCAATGTGTCCTTGTCCTGGGGCTGAGGAATCAGGAAATTGGTTCTAGTCCTGCCTTTGTCACTATTCTGAGAAAGTTTCCTCACTTTCCTGGGTCTTCTTCATAATAAAATGAAGACATTGGACATGATTTTTATAATTTTTTCCAGCTCTGGAGTTCTTTGAATTTATGATCTATAACTTCATTGAGCAGGGAGTCCCAGTGTCTGCATGGCCATGGTCCCATAAAGGGCCCTTCCCCCCACCTCTTGTCAGGCTTGTTCAGGCCATGGCTCTGGAAAAACAGCCTCTTTTCTGGTTTCCATCAGCACGGCAATTGTGAACTTCCTGCCATGTGGCCCATAAACCCCGAGTCGGAGCCAAATGTGGAGAAAGGGCAAGCCTGCCTATTAGAAAGGAGCTGATGGTCAGGCAGGCCAAACTCCAGCTTCCTTCTCATCTGCCGGCCCAAATGCAGGAAGCCCCTGGCCCACCTCCCCCACCCGTGTTCGGTGTGTGGGGCGCCTGACTCACAAGTCACCCTACGTACCACTACCACAACATTTGCCTCTATTGTGTATGGGCAGCTCGGGACCTCAGGGCAGGTGTCCCGTGCAGAGGACATCAGCCAGCCCCCCTCTCGGCACCTCCACCCCATCCCCAGCCTAGCTCTTACATCAAAGCAGTGGGCTCCAGAGCGGCCCTCTGAGGATGTCCCAGGAGCAACCTCGGGTTGGAGCTGAGGAGAACTGTTCATGCAGAGGCCAGTCTACATTTTACAACTCTAATTGGATGATTTTGCAACTGCGGTAAGTTGATTAAAAACACACACACACACAGAAGACAGAGACCTCTAGAAACTTTGCTTATTTTGCAAACGCAGTGGAGTAAGACTGAAGTGTCGCTGCTAATGTCTGACCCGCTAAGAGTGCGTGTGGCATCTTTCCAAAAAGACGGCTGGGCCTGTGAGGGCCATGTGGGAGCCCAAATGCTCAGTGGAGAGCCCCTAAATCTCCCCTTCTCTTGTTTACCCAAGGATATCAGATCCTGCCTGGCGCTGACTCAGCAGGGCTGAAGGTCGTGCAGGCTGCATGTTTGATTCTCTTGGCCTAGGATCTGGGGCCAGCAGGTGGCCTGGTCAGGCTGTACCTAGGTGGGAGGAAGGGAGGGCTCAGCTCATCCCGGGCAATCACTGCAGGCCAGGATGCAATGGGGCAGGCCTGGGACTGGCACACCGAGGGCGTCCAGTCAAGACTGGAAAGTCCTGTTGCCGGGGCGCCTGGCTGGCTCCGTCGGTGAAGCGTCTGCCTTCGGCTCAGGTCATGATCCCAGGGTCCTGGGATCGAGCCCCGCATCGGGCTCCCTGCTCCGCGGGAGAGTCTGCTTCTCCCTCTGCCAATGCCTCTGCCGCACCCCCTCTCTTTCTCACCAATAAATAAATAAAACCTTAGAAAGGACAAAAAAGAAAAACAATCCTCCTCTTGCCAGAGCTCCTGAGTCCCCCGAAGCAGAGTAGTCTGCACGGTGCAGGCTGACAGCCTCTCTGGCTTGCCCCACCTGGAAGCCATGCTTGGTTTCTGCTTCCAATGGGCCAAGCTCGCCCTCATCTTTCCAGCTGGGCTGAGGGGCATCTCTCTTACCTCTCCAGCCTGCAGCGGGTCCCGTGGCTCCCCTTCCAGGCAGACATCACCCCCGGTGAGCCCTCACTATCAGCACCAGCCCCCTGCAGCCGCGCCCCCTTGT